TGAATTTATAAAATAAGATGTTTTAATATTACTACATATGAACAGTGAAATGATTACTGTAGTCAAGCAAATGAGCATATGCATCATCTCAGAGTTACCTCTTTTTCTATGTATATATCAAGATAACTTATTTTTTAGCAAAAATCCCAAATGCAATACAATATTATTGACAGTATCCCTCATGTCGCACATTACCTCTCTATATTTGTCTATCCTGCATATCTGCAATTTTATATCCTTCAACCTACATCTTCCCCATTTCCTCTCCCCTACCCCGTACTTACTAAACTCTTCAACTTCCCATTTTTCCTTCACAGGCAACCATCACTCCACTTTTTGTCTATTGACTTCCCTAGAAACTTCATAAAAAGGAATCATACAGTATTTGTACTTTTATGACAGAGTTAGTATTGTCTTTAAAATTCATCCATATTATAACCTGTGTCAAAAATGTCTTCTTGGGCTAGGGGTATAGAGTGCTTATCTACCATGCACGAGGTCCTTGGTTTAGTCCTCAGCACTATAATAATAATAATAATAATAATCATCATCATCATCATCATCATCTCCAATATTTTTTATTTTTAATTTTGAGACAGGGTTTCATTAATTTGCTAAAGGTCTTGCTACACTTATGAGGCTGGCTTCAAACTTGCATCTTCTTGCCTCAGCCTCCCCAGTCACAGGGATTGCTGGTGTGAGCCACTGAGCCCAGCTAAAATCATTCTTTTTTAAGGTTGAATAATACTGTCGTAAGTTTATATTGCTTCATTTCTTAGTCATTTATCTTTCAATGGCCACTTGAGTTTTCCTTCCATCTTTTTCTTTTATGACCAATGCTGTTCTGAATATGGATGTAAAATTACTCAGTGCCCTTGGTTTGACTTCTTTTGGATACATACTCAAAAGTRAAATTGCTGGATCAAATGGTATTTCTATGTTTAATGTTTTGAGGGTTCCCCATATTATTTTCTATAACAGGTACATTATTTTCATTCCATCAGCATTGTTTGAGTTCCATTTTATCCATATCCTTGTCAATACTTGTTATTTTCTGTTTTTGTTGTTGATTTTTAATAGCCATCTTGATGGATATGATATTTATTTTGCTTTAAATTACAAATTGAACTTATTTAATAAACTTAGTGCTATTTAAATTTTCTCTTGTGTTGTTTCAGTAAGTTGTGTTTTTCAAAGTGTTTGTCATGAATAAAGTAAAAATTATCCATAACAACCTTTAGCTTTTCAGTATTGCTGGGTCATTCCTATTATTGGAAATTTGTGTTTTCTGAAATACACATTTGAAATTAGTCTTGCTAGAAATTTATTATTGTTTTCAAAGAACTAATTTTAGGTTTTCGTTTTCCCTGTTTTATCTATTTTCTATTTCCTTGATTTCCTCTTTTTTATGATTTCATTTCTTTTACTTACTTTGGATCTAGTTTACTTCTTATTTTCCATTTTTAACGAAGAAGCTGAGATCACTGATTGGGATCTTTCTCCTAATAGAGGCATTAAAAATGATACATTTTCCTCTACTGCTTTACTTGCACCCCATATACTTTGATATTTTGTGATTATAATTCAGTTCAACATATTTTTTAAGATTTTTTAATATGGACACAATATCTTTATTTAATTTCTTCATTTTTATGTGATGCTAAAGATCAAACAACATTTTTTAAGATTTTTTTAATATGGACACAATATATTTTCTTTATTTATTTTCTTTGTTTTTATGTGGTGCTGAAGATCGAATCCAGTGCCTCACAAGTGTCAGTCATGTGCTCTGCTGCTGAGCTGTAACCCCAGCCCCAGTTCAGCATATTTTTAAATTTTCCCTTAAGAGTTGGTCTTAATCCATAGATTATTTAAAAGCATGTTGGTTAGTTCCAAGTGTTTGGGAATTTTTCTAGATATTGTTTATTTCAAACATGTCGGTTTTTTGGAATTTAATGAGATTGTCTTATAGCCCAGCAAAAAGGGCCTATTTTGGTGAATATTGCAGGTTCATGTGAAGAAGAGATTGAGCATTCTGCTGTCATTAGGTATAGTGTTCTTTCGATTATTGTTAGTTAGAATCCATTTACATTTAATATTGTTGCCATCTTGGGGCTGGGGCTATAGATCAGTGGTAGAGCACTTGCTTAGCATGTATGCAGTCATGGGTCCAGTCCCTAGCACTGCAATAAATAAATAAACCTTGGTAATTTTAAAAATTCCATTTGTTTCTTTACTGCCTTCTTTTGGGTCAATGAAATATTTTAAACTATACTATTGTGTATCATTTCAAATAAAAATACTATTTAGGCACACGATTTCATTATGTGAATAATATCTTAAACTTGTATTCAAATTAGAGTATGCCAAGAGAATTTAAGGGAGGCACATAAAGTGAATGGGTCACTGTGGTGCTGCAAACCAGCTTTCACTACCAGAACTATTTGGTGCTAGTTCTGCCTTTCTTTTCCCATTCCAACATGAAACCATGACCTGGTAAACCTTACGTTTAACATATCATAAAACATGTTTGTAGAATATTTTAGTCAATATAATATGATCATTGCCTGTATACTGTCACTCTTTTTATGAGTGAGAATATGAATTTCCTTCCAATTAAATGTCAAACAAGTATCATTTTTATGTAATCACTCAAACATTTAATTCATGAGCAGCTTTGTGTTGCCTCCAGAAGCTTTTGATTTAGATGAGAAGGCATTTTCATGATTTTATTATGTATTAATCTATGTTGTATTTTATATTATATAAATTTATTGTATATTTGTATAATTTAAAAGATAAATAGCAACACAATACTGTGTGTGACTGTTACAGATAAATGAAGTAGATAAAGATGTTTGGTTAATGAGAGAAACAGTTGCCTAAGCAAGGAAATTACCATGTTAGGCCCTGGCCACAGAGGATTCTCTCTACAGACTAGCAGCCTGCAAGGCATACATTTCTCTGACATTTTCTTGAATTTCCTAATAAACAGTATGATTTTATTTATTTATCTATTTTTTTAGCCTCTGACTATCTACAGAGGTTCTTGATCGTTTATAATGAGGAAAAACTCTTACCTTTTTTCTTCTCTTTTCTTTTTCTATATATAGCTATAGATAAGTATCACATGATTATTTGGRTTAAAATTTCATTTCAATTTGACTTTCCTGGTGAGAAACATTTACATCATTTTAGCCTTGTGAGCATGAATTGCCTCTCTTTCTATGTGTAATCAGTTTCTACTCTTCAGCATACACAACATTTTGTGAATAATATTCAGTGCAGAAAGAGATCTAAAAATAATTTTGTAGGCAGCGTTTTGTGAGTAGAACACTGGCTAGCAAAAAGAACAAAGGCGCTTCAGGGTAAAGGTATAGTAGGTGAAGCATTTTATTTCATTTGCTCCACCAAAGAACTTGCATTTAGTGGAGAAGAAAAATAAACAAGAAACAGGCTTCTGCACCAGCTACTGAATGCTTCATTTYTCATCACTGTTAGTCACATGTGAACTATTGCAGTCCTTTTGGTGTGTATGACTAAGCTTACCCTCTCCTTTTTTTTTTTTTCCAAAAGGCAAAATCCTGAATTTTATGTTTAAAAGCACAATGAAATGTTTTTTTTTTTTATTTTCTGCAGTTCATTTTGGAATTCCCAGTCTTAAATTCCATTCATTTTCAGAAAGGTGGCAAAGGATGCATAATACATTGCATTTTTATGCCTAATAGCACTTCCAATAGCCCTTAATGCATATTATGTATACACACCTTTCAGCATCTGTTTCTACCTGACAGCTTACAGCACCAGGCTGAATCTTGTGATGAACAACTTGAAATGCTGAACACCATTACAATAGATTCTTATTGGGAAAAGAAAGCTCTTCTAGAGTTCCTTACTACCATCATCTGCTTGCTGGGGATTGAACCCAGGAGTGCCATACCACTGAGCTACATCTCCAGCTTTTTTTTTTCTTTTTTTGGAGACAGAGTCTTGGAAAGTTGTCCATGCCTGCCTCAAACTTGCCATCCTGCTACTTCAGCCTCCAGAGTCACTGTGCCACTGTGCCACGCTCTTTATAATGTCTTTATTTTCCTTAAAAACAAAACACTTTTCCATAAAGATTTTAAAGTGATATATTTACCAGTACATAAAAGATGTCACRCTATTTTWAAAAAATATGTTTTTAGTTACAGATGGATACAATACCTTTATTTATTTATTTACTTTTATGTGGTCCTAAGGATCGAGCCCAGTACCTTACACATGGTAGACAAGCACTGTACCACTAAGCTAACCCCAGCCCATGATGTCATACTCTTTCAATTAGTCTTCCAAAATAGGGATCAAGGTTTGAGCTAATCAACTAAGCAGTTCTCGTGGGCAAGGATTAAAGCTTGTATTTTATATAGGGCAATCCATTATGCAACCATATTACTGACTATTCTTCAAAAAATATATGTATATAGAATTGTTAACATTAAGAATTGCTAGGATCCTGTCTTAACATGGTATTTATTTATTTGAATAATTTTTTGTATTAGTTCCTTATGAAGAATGAGATTTAATAAAGGCTTGTTTTCTTATTTTGCCACTACACTTGGGGTTTTTGGTCTTGAACTATCTCCTAGAAATATATTTCCTAGAATTCCCAAAACAAAATAGTAAAATCTTTTTWAAAAAACTGTCTTTTGTATGCAAAATTCAGATTTTGGGCTTGTGTAATTTGGCCACATGCTAAAAATTAAGTAAGCACATACCCAACAAAGCACAGTTGGTGGAGGCTGTAGTTTATGAAAAATTCCAGCCAATATTACCCACCCTAAACTTTCCTTTCTTTTGGCCTGAGAATAATTCAGAAGAGGCACTATCGTACCCATCTTTCATTTTTACATGTTTGGTTTCCATGTCCTTTCTGAGGTTGTAAACCTGTAGGAACCAGTTTTGACTATTAAGCAATATACCATTTAGTCCATACTGACTAATTATTTGTGACTTTGCAGGTACTACTGAGGATGAATGTGATTTGGAGAAATTATATTTGCTGCCTAAGACTAAGAAAGGTGCCACACAGATGCCACAGTGGTTCCCACCCAGTGGCCCCTCTGGGATCAAGAATTTTAACTGACCCAGCCAAAGTTTTTGAGCACAATATGTGGTGAGTTCTCTTTTTTAGGTCTGATATTATGTATGTTTATTAAATATCACCAGTGATATTATTTAAATTTAGTACCACGAAAGGAKTTTTAAAACTATTGTTTTTATTTAGGTTGTAGAGAAAAGCAAGGATAACCAGTCCTGACTTAATGTGTTTCTAGTTCTAAATTGCTTTGCTAATGAAATTGGAAAAGTGGAACTTCCCTAGTGCTTTAAGCCAGCTCTCCCTCCTTGCCTCTGATCCTGACTTGCCAGTGTATTACTGGGTAGAGACTGGGTGGGAGGCTCTTTCCTAGGCAGGGTCCTCCTCTCACCTCACAGGCCCTTCATCTTTACAAATTGTTGTCAATCAGCAAATTGTATATACAGCACCTGCTGCTTCCTAAGCATCAGGGGAAGTCCCTGCTTTCAGAGAATCTAACACTATTTGGGAAGATAGGTAAATAGGTATGTATAGCAAAAGCTGATAATCAACAATACCAAACAGTAAATTATAAGGGCCCAGTGAGTGTTATAGAGGACATAAGCCTTATGAAGAACAAATAAGTAATGTAAAACAACTTGTGTATGGGCATAGTCAGGAAGGCTTCTTAGAGTGAGCAGAACTAAAATTAGGATTATTTATTCTGCCTCCTGTTCCTGGCACAAAGCCTGACACAGAAATATTTGTTGACTAATGATTTGGATAGGTAGAGCTGGATTAAGGGCATTCTGAATGAGAAGAAAGTCATAAAACAGAGATGAGGAAGTACAAGGCATTTTTAGGAGACAATAAACAGGGCAGTTTGGCTTAAAAAAMGAAAAAGCACATCTAGGAGACTATTGAAAGATAAGATTGGAATGATATAGGCCAGATGTTAGGATGGGAGCAAAATTATGCATGGTCCTAAATTCATAGCTGAAGTACAAGATGCTATAGAGCCACCAAGGAGAAATGATTATATACATATTTGGTAACAATATGCTGGATATATCAGCAGGGATAACTTGAAGCAGGAGAGAGCTAGTGAGAGAGCTCGTGAAGGAAGAATAAATAGAACTTGGTACTTGTACAAAATAAAGGAAAAGGAAGAATTTGAAGTTTTGAACTTAGGTCACTGCTAAGAAAATCAAGAAGTTAACTGATTTTTTATTTTGGAAAAAAAGATGATGAATTTAGATGTAAACATTCAAATAGTCTTTGAGAAAAGGATAATCTGGTAAAAAATGTCCAGAATACAGAGACTGCTGCTGGGAAGAGGGAGAAAAAGTATCTGGGCTGGAAATGCAAAGTGGGATGTGATAGCTCCAGACAAAACTTGTTATCAGTCTGCCTCTGGGGCAGGTCTATAAGACTGGGAAAGTGATTTGGGGACTTTTTTAATGTTTTTATTCCAACAGAATATCAGATTAAAAAGGAAGTTTACTGATCTTTTATTAATTAGTCGTATAGTGTGCAGTATGGTAGCCACTAACCACGTATGGGTTATAGAGCACTCTAAAATGTAGTTTGTCTGAGTTAAGGTGGGCTGAAAGATTTTGAAAATTTAGTATTAAAAAAAGGTAAATTATTCAATTTTYATATCAAATTTCATGTTGAAATGAATGAAATTTTGGATACATTGAGTTAAATAAAATATATTACCTCTTTAAATATTTTACCTCTTTACTTTTTTAACATGGCTACTAGAAATTTAAATTATATATGTGGCTCGCATATATAATTTACTTTTTTGAAATTAAAAAGAGTAAATTAAATCATTTTGATCACCATTACCAGTATGGACAATTACTGTAGGTTGTGAGAGAAAATAGGCCCTTTTCCAGGCAAAGAGATCTCCAGAGGAACTTCTAGTCCTAGCCAAGATCCTCATTTACAAGGTTGGTTTTGTTTTTGTTTTTGTTTTTTTCTCCTTCATTAAACCCTAGTGATTTAGTTGTCTATTTTCCTATCTGCTGCTACCTCCAGCTCTTTTGCCTGAAATTTTTGCTTACCTATTTAAATTTCTGTCTTGTCATCATCTCTTGGGAAAGCAAGGGTTCATTAGTCCAGTGCTTCTCAAACACCGAGGGTTAGCTTTGGGATGACTGCACAAGAATCCCTGGGAGAGTACCTTTGCATTAGGCCTAGAGATGTGGCCTAGAGATTTTTAATTTGAAAAGCTTTTGGTAATTGTTGAGCAGCCAGATTTAAGAATCCTTGATCCAGTCCAATGACTTTCAGATTTTTTCTCTCTGCCTTTCTTCCTTCCTTCCTTTCCTTTTTAGTGCTGGGATTGAACCTAGGGCCACTCACAGAGCTACATCCTCACCTCTTTTTATTTTTATTTCGATACATGGTTTTACCAAGTGGCCCAGCTTKGCCTCAAACTTGTGATCCTCCTATTTCAGCCTGAGTAACTGGGATGCACCACTGTGCCTGGCTCAGACTTTTCTTTAGCAGGAGAACTTTTTTCTAGTGAAGTTTTTATATGACATCTCAATATTTAAAAGGTAAAAATCAACCTGTTCTGAATGAAGCACATGTAGGCCTGGGACATAAGCAGCTCCACTTTTTTACTTTCCCACATTCCATCACTCTACCAGCCTGGAAGACCTTCAGAGCTCTGCTCTCACAGTTTGAAAACCTCAAACTAGTCCAGATAGCCACTCAAACTAGTCCAGATAGCCATCCTTCTCCATAGCTTGCTCTCCAAGGGGTTATCCAGCCTGCACTGGGATACCACTAGTAACCCCCTCCTCCAATAGATATATATTATAATAACAACAGTAAAAATTATTTCCTTCAAGAGAAAAGGAAGTAGCAGCTTCACTTCATCTTCCCACACATCCTTATTTCCACCTCCTATATTTTTTTTGCATGAAGATTTGTTATATATATTTGTTTGTTTTCTCCTTCCTTCAAGTCCAAAGTTCTGTCTAAAAGTTTTCATTTTCTTCCTTATTTTTTTCTTCATATTTAAGAATAATATTTCCACTCTTGCTGAATTTGACTTTTTACGGAATGTTTCTGTGAAAGTACATGTCAATTTTCTCTTACAGATGTTGCTCTGAATTATCTAGTTCATTTTTTCCTCTAGCCTCTACTTTGTATGGATGAATTACTCTTTCTATGATCCTTTTAAAACTTTTTCTTAACAAAAATATATTCCATTTTATTCAGCTTCTAATATTCTGAGACAAATTTGTCTTCCAGATTTTGGATATTTGTATCACTATTTATGTCAGCCTATAGTCTTGATTTTAAATTATTTGGTGAAGTGAAATTCACATAACATAAAATTAACCATTTTAGAGTGAACAATTCCATGGTGTTAGTTACATTCACAACTTTATACAGCCAGCGCCTCTATCTAGTTCCCAAACATTCCAGTAATTCCAAAGTTTAACCCCTTATCCATAAAGCACTTATTCCCACCCCCTTACTCCCAGCTTTTGGCAACCACTAATCTATGTTCTATCTTTGTAGATTTGACTATTCTGATAATGGAATCATACAATATGTGACCTTTTCTGTCTGACTTTTTTCACATTGCATAATATGTTGGAGCTTCCTCTACCTTGTAGCATATTCTTTATTTTTTTTAAGGCCAAACAATGTTTCATTATTTATATATACCACAATTGTCTTATTCATTCAACTTTTAAAGAACATTTATGCATTTTCYACCTTTTGGATCTTGTGAATAGTACTATCAACACATGTATACAAGTTTGGATCCCTGCTTTCAATTAGAGGAGGTGTATACTTAGGTCTAGAATTGTGGTGGTCACATGGTAATTCTATGTTTAARGTTTTGAGCCATTGTCAAACTTTTTTTCCACAGCAGCTAGAAACAGCTGGACTATTTATTTTACATTCTATCTTTACTCTTTTAATTACACTTATTGTATTTAAATCATTACTGGGGAAATACTGACCAGAAATGATATTCAAAATGCTTTTGAGACATGACCCAAAGGTCTATCTTTATTAAGCAACTTACACTGTTACTTGGGAAAATCATTCCCCATTCCACATTATTCCTAGTTTAATTGTGTGGGAACTTTTCGAGAGATCCCTGAAATTTGTAAGGAAGCAACAAGCATTTGTGTTTATCTTATGACTAAAGTAGCTAAGCCTGTRGGATGATCCATAGTTAAAAAAAAATACAGCTTACTTCATGAACCAGTACTTAGAGACATACTTCATTACACATTCATAAAATAGGAATAGAAGTTGCCTGTACAGTTTTTACCATGTGAGATGTGTACCTGGGTTCCCAYTTGTTCTATTCTACTGTGTTTCCATTTCATTCTCTTTTTAAGTATTGGGTAGACTAAGTTGATTTCATGACTCATGGAAAGGTTATAACCTTTAGTTTAAAAAACACTGAGCTAAGCCATTCTCTGTAGACCCAAGGTAAGACCTGGATGTTGCAACATTATTTCTGTTGTATAAGCCATTTAAATAATAGGATGTTTTTCTGATCTCAATAAGGTTCAGATTCTAAGAATTCTTTAATATTACATAATTTTCCTTATATAATCATTGTATTATCATCTGACTGCTCTTGCCCTATTTCATACATCGTAAATATTTTCTTTGACTTCCTCCATCATCACATTTATTTTGAGAGGCAGTAGAGTACAAATGTTGACAGTACAGACTTAATGGTTACCCAGCCTTGGGAAGCTACTTAATCTTTCTCTCTCTCTTTTTTCTKTTTTTATAATTCAGTGAAGTGAAATTCACATAACATAAAATGAACAATTCTGTGGTATTAATTACATTCCCAAAGTTAACCTAATTCTGGGAAGATACTTAATCCCTCTGTGACTTAGTTTTCTTTTTCTAAGATGGGATAATAATAGTAGTATCTACATCATAGCATGTTATTAGGTTTAAAATGATCACATTTAACATAAAGTATCTTTGCATTGTAAATAAGCAACATACTATATAATAATTAGCTATCTTATTATGATTACTATTTTCTAATGTGTTCTTTATTTATGTTTTTTCTTAATTATTTGTATGAT